CAAAGATTCCATGGGCTGGAGCTGCTGCTGTGTGTGCAGAGCACAGGCTTTGAGTTTAGGGTGCAGCAGCTCTTTTATGTTCTGCTTCCCATGGAGAGCAATGGGAACAGCCCCCAAACCCAGGCTGCTCCCTCCTGATCAGGAATCAGGCCCTTGGAATGAGGCACGACATGAGTGTGAGATGTTCTGACACGTGGGAGGCAGGACAGTGACTGGAGAGTGTTTGGGACAAACAGTCAGCAATGAACATGTGGAATGGTCAGAAATGGTCTCTGACATCCTACACACTAAGCAGTGTCCACAAATGGCTGGAGAATAACTCTACAATGGGATTTCTTTTGGAAAAGCCACCCAAGGGATCTCCTGGACACCATTTCACTGGACAAGAACAGTAGAGAACGTGCTGAGTATGGTGGGAAGAGGAAAAACCAGGAGGAGGCTCGGTGTCCAAATGCAGCATTCCAGGCACAGGCTCCCTACTATTCTGTCCTACATTCATCTAAGACAGTCACAGCACATCTCCTGATTTTTTCAAGGTCAAGGCATGTGAGCATGTCCTGCTGGGCTGTCTGATGGTGACACACAGTTGGCAATGGGAAATACATGTCTTTCTCTGGCAAGTGGCATTGCCCCCAGTCAGTGAGGACACCCTTGGGTGGGCAGCCCTCAGCCCCAGCCAGAGGGATCCCACTGGGCTGCTTTTTGCTGCAACCAGGGGTGAGTAAAACCTGGGACAGCGCTGTGACTACACACCAATACCTGCTGGAATAAAGGTTTCCTGCCTCCAGATCAGCAAACGTCTCCTAAAACAAACATCCACAAGCAACACAACAAGCAGAGAGAGCAGCCCCTGAGTTCCTGGCCCCCTCCAGCAGTGAGGACTCCCCCGCTCACCTTGGTTTCGGCAGCCAGGCGTGGCATGGAGGCCGCCCGGCCCTGGCTCTCCAGGCCTGGCTGGGGCTCTCCATTGGCAACTGTGGGGCTGATTTCCCTCATTTCTACCACCTGATGGAAACATGACATGTTTTCAGTAGCAAGAACATGAACATCAGCTTTGAAGCCATCACCTGAGCTTTGAAGCCGTCACCTGAGCATGCTTTGCTAGGTTGGATGTTGTCGTGAGGAAATGGTGGGATGGGACAGAGAGTAAATGAAGAGCTGTGGAGAAGGTTACTCTCTGTCTGCTGGGCTTTCTGCAGCAAGGACAGCACTGGGCCGGGCTCTTCCACCAGCCACGAGCCCCAGGTGTGACCTGTGAAACCCCTGACCCGAGCTAGGACACTGATGGCACTGGGACTGAGATAATGGGAAGAGATAACCTTAGGTAGCCTATTGCAGCAAGACAGAATTCCATGGAAAGGGTGTCCCCATCACAGCTATCAGGCCGTGGAAGCTGTTGGGATTTGGTCTTCCCCCCTAAGCAAATTTGGGGTTGTAAGAGCAACACTTGCCTCACGGGGCAGATCTACCATTTCATGCGTGTCTCCCTCTCTTCACCTGGTTTCCTGAACATTTTCTACAATATCTAAAGTCCTACCACAGTTGTGGAATCTCCTGCCCCTCACCATGCCCTGCCCTCCCACCTGCCCCCCGCGTGCTCACCCGTTCGATGGGGATCTCCTCGGAGTGGCCTCTCTCAAAAGCCGGGGTCCTGGTTTCATAAAACACGTCCTGGGTGCGCTGGGTCCCCCAGGAGCTGGACTCTTTGATCCCCCCCTCTGGGGCTGGGCTGCCAGAAGGAAAAGTGGGAAGGAAAAACAGTCACTCCTTCGCAAAGATGATTTTGCTGAACTCGCAGTGTGGCAAACTTGGGAAACCAGAGCTGCTGGTGAAACTATCAGGTCCCCTGGGTTTTTCCAGGATCACATCCTACAGAGCCTGAAGATCCCACGAGAACAAGGAAATCACAACAGCCGTATTTTCTTTTTTTTTTTTTTTCCCCAGTAACTGAGAAAAGCAATTTCTGTGACTTAATTCCTGATGAAGAAGAACGAAGAATGTTGGAGCTCGGGCCAATTCTGTGAGCAGGACAGTTGGACAGTGGTCAAACACCAAAACTAAAGGACATTCACTCAAAGTCCAGTGGCACCCACAGGTTTCACTGCTGAGCCACTGGTGGCTTCCCAAATGCCCCCATCAGGGTTGTTTGGGATGTTTAAACCTCAGATGTCTATCCCTAAAAATCCACAGCAGTTGTGTGACCCACACAAGTCACCTGGAGAGCAGGAAATTGAGAATTCCTTAGGGAATTCTGTTCCTAGAACTGTTTGGAAAGCTCTTTGGGGAAGGATTATTTAGCCCAAAGAGACACATTCTGTCATGGCAAGACTAAAGAAGCCCTTGCTGTTACCAAGTGCCCTGAGCTCCAGGGATGACCTTGTTCCCAAGGACCCCCTGGACTCCCAGGAACTCCTTGGTGGACTGGGGTTTGTTTGGTTGTTTTGCAACGATCCCAAATTCCTGCGAGGAAACTCACGCTCACAACCACCCACAGTGGAAAGTTCTGCCATGGAGATTCAAGGGAGACCATTGAGGAAACACAAAGGTCTGGAGAGCCCAGTGTCCCACCCCAGGCAGCAGCGGGAAGCAGAGACAGACAGAGAGGTTTTGGAAGCCACCAACGGGAATCATCCCAGCCATGGATTGATGGGGCTGCTGGTCTTGGTGTTCCCACTTCCAGAGCCACTGAACCCAGTGGACACACCCAGTGAGGGCTTTGGGGTGGGTCAGGGGATACTCACAGAGCCCCCCCGTTGTTGAGGGAGGCCGAGCTCTTCTGGCGCAGGAAGGCCTTGGCGTTGTTGAACGCTGTGGGCTGGGTCTGCTCCAGGGTGGCCTTCAAGGGGTGGAACAGGGACACTGGGCCAGGCTGCCAAGCACAAGGGAAGGGTGTCAGAGGCACAGCTGGTGTGGGCTGAAGGGCTTTCAACAAAAGTCCACTTTGCCACGCTGGGAGATGAGCCCAGCACAAAGCCCAGCCCAGCACAAAGCCCAGCCCGGCCCAACCACGGCTGGGAGGGGCTCTGAAGGACCTGCTGCCCTCAGCTTTGTACAAGTCAAGTCGTTGTACTGCAATCCCCCATCCCTCTAAGTGTTCTCCCAGACTGGGATTTCCCTCAGGGATGGGATTTCCCTCAGGTTGTGACATGGGCTCTGCTGCAGCCACCCACATGCAGGACAGATCTCTGTGCCCTGCTGGAGCTCAGCTGGATGATCACCCTAAAAACAGTAGCTATTTGTCCTACTGGAAACCACTGGGGTTTCAATCCCAAGCCATTTGTGTGGAAATATCACAGAATATTCAGAGTTGGAAGAGACCCCCAAGGATTATCAAGTCCAACTCTTAAATAAATGGTCCATGATCTTGGCATAACCAACTGAGCTAAACTCATGGTGGAAATACTTTCAAGAAATAATTCCAAGAAATTGCAAAAAAACTTAAAATCTATTAGAGACAAAATGTTTTGGAATAATTCCCACTAGAGCCCAAACGATTTTCGATAATTCCCATTTTCAAAAGCAACTCACAACATTTTACAGCCAAACTATTAGCAGCTTTCATTAATTCTTTCATGCCCCCAAAGAAATCTTCTGGTGTTCCCCAGTCCCTGGGCCACTTCTGAAAATAGGATTTAGACTGTCAAACATCAGCTGACATTTTTTGGAAAAAGTCTTTCTGGATCTCCCAGAAAAGGCGACTGTAACAATTTTTTTTAAATAGTTTTTCAGACAGACTTTCAGGAGGGGTTTTGATTTTTGAGACAGCATTTTCCAACCCTGCCTGGAGACGAATGCAGAGTTTCTGGATGAAACTTGCTGGTGAGAGCTGCTCAATGCTGGAAAAGGGGCTGCCCAAGAGGGAGGATGGAGTAAAACACCTTTTTGGTGGGTACCTGGCAGAGGCCTCCGGGGGGTTGGACTTGTTCCCTGCTGTTCTTATTCTGCTTGTAGAAGTCAAATATCATCAGTGCTGCGTAGACCTTCCCCACAGTCATTTCATCAGCTGCCAGAGGAGGGTGAGACATTGAAACATGAAAAAATTTCAAGGATGAGAAGCACAAGATAAGTCAAAAAACACAAAAAATAACAGCAAATGGGTACAAAAAACAAGGAGAGGAGAGAAGAAACATCAGAATAATGAGGCAAAACAGACACAGAAAACAGGGGAAAGAAGATAATGATGAGGAGAAGGTTACAACAAACTTCTTCAGCTCTTTCCCTCTTGCTGCCTCTCCCATCTGAGATCAAACACAGAGATCACGCAGCAAAAACCAGGCAGGAAACCTCTGTGGCATTTTAAGCACCGCTGAGAGAACTGCTAAATTCATGCCAGATCCACAGCCTGCTTGTTATCAAGAAAAAAAGCCTTATTCCTCTTTGTTTGAATTACAGTCAACCTGGGCATAAGGGGCTAAATAAACATTTAAAGAGCATTTCATTTTTCCAGATGTCTTTTTCCACCCTCAGAGAGCCAGAACCAGCCCTTCCCAACACAGCATTGGAGCACTCACCATGGAGCAGGGATTTGGGGCAGCAGGTACAGAGGGCAGGGAAAGACTTAAGCAGTCACTCCCCACTGATTGGCACCTCCTCAGCAACCTCATTTATCTTAATTAACAGTGCCCTTATTGCTCTGCACTGCTCCTCATTAATCAGGAACCCAGAAGCCTTGAATGGGCAAACTTTCCATTTTCTCAGCACATTCTCCCAGGGCATCATCAACCCAAGGGCCTTTAGCCCCCAAACACTTCACTTCTGATTCTCTGAGTTCTCAGCAAACTGCGATTTTCTTCTCCTGGTTTTCTGGAGCTCAGATGGGAGAAATAGCTCTCCTATCCTGCAAGGTACAGGCTGGAGGCTGACAAAGCCATGGAAAAGCCCTGCAAAAGGCCACACTCTTGGCTTTTTTGCCACTGTTTTGGGGTTCTTTTCCCCTGAGAACAGAAAATCCCCTGTAGCATCGTGAAGTCCATGCCTAGACGTGATCTCAGCTTCTCTGATCCCTATGTGCCCATGGCATGGCAGCACAGAGGGTGCCAAGAAGCTGATTCCACATGACTGTGTGCCCAGATGGGGCTTGGGACAGCTCAGGCAAGGAGGGGGAAACCTTTTCTGGGCTTCTTGAGTGCCTGGGATGGATCCAGTGCTTGCTGTTGAACCACTTACGTTTGTGAGGAGGCACCAGCAAATCCAGAGTCTTCTGGGACAGGTTGGGCCAAACCAGGGAGATCTCCTTTCTCAGCTCAGCATCACACTGGTGCTGTTTAACTCCACCTGCAGAGAGGGAGGGGAGAGGGAGAGACACAGGAGGGAGAGTGAAAACCCTTATCCTGGCAGCACATCCCAGCATTTGCATCCTCATCCTTCCATTCCTTGAGAAGGGGGAGCCAGCACAGCTGCAGCAGATGTGGAGGAGGGAATTGGTGGCTCCCTCCATGAAAACAGTGTGTGAATTTACCAGGACCATCATCACCTCAACCTGCTGACTCTCTGCTCTTACCTGGGGCTTAAACTTAAGCTCAGACTTGCTCCACCTGACTGCAGGTGCCTCCTGCTTTGGGACGCTGGGAAGCGCCCCCAGGAAGCAGCAGCACCTCCCAGGTGGGATTCAAAGGAGGTGTTGGACTTGAATCATGGAATGATTTGGGTCAGAAAGCACCTTAAAGATCCTCCAGCTCCGTGGGCAGGGACACCTTCCACTGAGCAATGCCATGAGGGGTTATAAACCCCCTCTGCCACCAACTCTTCCCAAAATCTCCGGCAGTGAGACACTGCAGGTTGTTCTGTACCAGCAGCTCCATCTCAAGGTAAAACAGAGCTGAGCTGTTCAAAGGGGCAAAGGGAGGCCTTAATGCAGCAGTGGGAAGTGATTAAAGGCTGTGTGAGCCAACAGGGCAGCTCCCAGCTGAATGCTCTGCACAGGAGCCAATTAACTAGTTCATCTGAATGACAGAGATTATTTTTCTAAGAGAAAAGTACTGGGAGGAGGCTCTGGGTACTCTGTTACACGGTGGTTTGAACTCCCACACAGCAGCTCATTAGGGAGGGTTTATTAAGGGCCTGTTAGTCCTACTAAAGACTCAATTAAATGTAGCACATGAAACCCATTCAAACGAGCTCATAACAACACAACAGGTCAAAACCTCACACCCCACAGCAGAGAGAAAGCAGAGAAAGAATCCAGTGCTATCAGCTGAGCTCTCTTCTCTGGTTCCTTCCAGGGTAGACCCAAAAAAAAAGGGAGGGGGGGAGAGGAGAGCCTTTTCCAGTTAAAAAGGCTTTTTGAGTTACCATTGAGTTACCAGGTAACCAGAAGCTGAAAATAACACAAACTCTCAGCATCCTCAGCTAGAAGTTACTCCTGAAATAAGGTGCTGGCCCTTAAAGTCCCAGGAAATCCTAAAGGCATCCTTAGAAACGAGTGTCTGATGCTCAGCATCACTCCCCAAGTTTCATTCCCTTAGGGAGCCCCAGTGACCTCCAAAGTTTTTCTCCTTCCAGCAGTGCCAACCCAAAGCATCCGAGTTTCAGCAACACGTGAGGGAGGTGATTAACCCAGGGAGGTTGCACTGCTGGCCTAAAACTGCTTAGGAAAGCACAAAACCCACCCCTGCCTTGCCCTGTGCTCATAAGAGCATTGTTACCTCCTGTTAACTTTTAAATTAGGCATAAAAGTGCTGGGGCCAGGCATGCCTTGATTGTGACCCCAGCCAGGCTGATTAAATGCTGTAGTGACCCAGAGAAAAGGCCAGTGTGTTTTATTACATTACAAAGTTTAATTGGGAAGTCAAGTAAACGCCTGATTAAACACTTAAATAATTTTATCTCAAGGCAGAATGTGGTTCAGGGCACTTGGAGTCAGTGCCTGGCTGCCAGCAGAGAGCAATTGGGAAGGAAGGGCTGGTTTTCCCCTGTGCTGGAATAGTTAAGGGGGGTGGAAATTCTCATTTCTGTTTGACAGCAATGAGCACACACAAGGATTCTTCTCCTTTGAGAGCTCTCCACTGGGATGGCCAAAGATCCCCAGGGATGCAGCCACCCCAAAGGCAGAGGAGCTCAGGATCCCTCTGTCCCTGCCCCAAAGCTCCCTTGCCCTTGGGTGCTGGCAATAGGAAAAGAGGATTTCCACCTGGAGCAGAATTCCTGTGGTTTTGAGAGGACACCAAGCCAGCAGATGAGCTGGGGGTTGAGCCACATGTGCTCTCAGCAAACTGGAATTGTTTTCTGGTTTTCCAGAGCTCAGATGATAAAAATTGTTCTCATCCTGAAAACACAGGTTGGAGGCTGACAAAGCCACGGAAAAGCTCTGGAAGAGGCTACACAGGGCACTGGGTTTGGTTGGGTTTTTCCTGTATAGAAGGAATCTACTGTACTATAATGAAGTCCAAGTCCAGATGTGGCTCCAGCTTCCCTGATCCCTGTGTGACCATGGCACGGCACAGAGGGTGCCAAGGAGCTGAACTGCCCTTGTTTCCTTTGCTGTGCCCTCCAGATGACTGTGCCATCCCCTCCCTCTCACCTGAGGCCAGTTTGATCTCCAGGGCAGTCCTGATCAGGGCCATCAGCGTGGATGTGAAGTGCACGGTCAGGTCCTCGGGGGAGATGGGCATGTTCATCCTCACCAGGCGCTGGGGAGGGAAACACTCGCCGTGAGGGTGGCTCAGGATTCCTCCCCCCACCCCGCCCTCCCCTCTGCCAGCCCTTCAAACACCCAGACTGAGACATGGGGGAACTTTTTGTGTGCTGAAATGCAGCTCCTCGATCTCAGCTCCTGTCCAGGAGCAGGGCTGAGACACCACAGTGGCTCCAGTGGTTAAACAAGGGGGTTGCCAGCACTGCACTGCAATCCTACAGGGAGTTCTGCCAAAAGCAGCCAGTTGGGATGCTCTGAACCCATTTCCCAGCCTGCTGCCCTGCTCCTGACAGTCTCCAGTGATGCTGCAGCTCCAGAAGTGTGGCTGGTACCCAAAGCAGCGATAAACCACAACTCCACCTCCTCCACCCTTTCCTACACCAGTTGCCTTCACCTAAATTTTGGTTTTACAACAGGAGAAACAGCAACAAATGGGAGCTGGCAGTGCTGAAGGAGGGAAGCTGAAGGAGAGTTTGCATCTGCAGCTCTATCCTGAACGTGGCTGTGCCCCTTCCAGCTGTGCCCCTTCCAGCTGTGCAGGCGGCCTGGCTGGGGAGTGGGATGTGAGGGAGGCACTTCCAGTGACAAGGAGGGCTTTGTACAGGAGATGTGCAGTCCCTGAGTGGGCCCATGGTTGGACCACCTTGGAAACAAGGCTGCTGAGCCCTGTGATGTGGCTCAAGCACCTGGGGCAGTTTGGGACTGGGTGCTAGAAGGTAAAGGTGTCCACATCCTTCCCACTGGAGATCCCTGAGTTCTGGCTCTTCCCTCCTTGCCCTGTGGGCATCCTTGTCTCCTCCTTCCCTTCCAGTCAATGAGCTACACAGCCCCATCCAGACCTTCCCCATGGATTAACATGAGCAGAACTGTGATGGCCACCATGTGGAACAGTCCCTCAGGATCAGCATCTTCCAAGATTTGCAGACCTGGCAGCTACTCCTTCCCCATCATCATCCAGGGCAAATTCATCATTCTGGTAAGCAAGGAATTGCTTTGGAAAGCTGGGGCTCCCCTGAACACCTCTGGCAGCAGAGCATGGACGTGTTGACAGGGGGAAGGACTCTCCAAGCCTTGCTGATAACCTGAGCCACACATTTAAAGGATGGGTTTCTTCTCCTTCAGCAACCTGATGATTTATCAGCTCCTCAGCTCTCACCAGCTCTTTGAAAATGTCCTTGTCCAGAGCCATATCAGCCAAACCTGGAGCCATATCAGCCAAATCTCAGAGTTTCCACTCTCCAAGGGAATGTGGAGCCTGAGGAGGTCACTGAGGGTTGAGCTGCCTCAGCTGTAACCCCCAGGGGCAGCTTGGCCAGGGCCCCTCCCTGGGAGGGAATTTCATCCCCATCTGAGAGCTCCTTAAGCTGGTTTTTTTTTTTATCTCTAGCTCTGCACAGAAACCCTGTCTTTGTTTCCCAGCAGCCCCAAGTGCTGTCAGAGGGCTGTCCGTGGGCTGCAGACCCTCCCCTGGCTCTGGGCACAGGGCTGGCAGTGTTTTCCAGAGCTGCAGCTGCCGGTGCAGCCCCACTCACCCTCCTGGCTGGCACAGGGAGAATGTGTGGCAGGAGCACCTCTGCTCATGGGCACATTTTTGGGGAAGGGAAACAGGCTGTGGGTGAGTGCAGGGACCTGCTGGAGCCTCAGGTGAGGTGAGAGGCAGAGTGGTCCCTGTGAGCCCTGATTCTTGCTCCTGTGCTTCACCCAACCCAAGCCAAGCCTTGGTCACCCTTTCCATCCCTGGTTTAGCCTCCCTGCTTGGAGCAATGTCTGACACACAACTTCCCAGAGGTCTGAACTGAGCTGCCTCAGAATCACAACCTGCTCTGGCTTGGAAGGGACCTTTAAGGTCATTTTATTGTCATCTCTGAGACAAACCTTAAAGATCATCTTCTTCCACCCCCTGCCATGGGCAGGGACACCTTCCACTAGCCCAGGTTGCTCCAAGCCCCGTCCAACCTGGCCTTGGACACTTCCATTATTTATCTTTTCACACATCTTGGGCTCTCATTCCATGCTGGAGAGACAAGAGACCGGTGTAACAACCTCTCTCATCTCCTAAATTCTGAGACAAACCACTGGAATCTCCAAGATGTTCCTTCCAGCATGCCCAAGGTCATTTTCCATGTCTATCCAGCCTCAGAGACAGGAAAATCAAAGCCAAGGCTTCTGTCCCTTTGTAATTCATTGACAGTATCAAATGCTGTCAACACCACAGGTTTGGGTTTCTGTTCACTTGTGTCAATGAAACAGGATTTCAATTGAAATTTCTGCCCTCAGCACACAAAAAGTTGCAAAAAATCCATCCATGAGAGTTCAGAGTTACCACTTGGAGAGTCCCACTGGGTCCCACTTCAGTGGGAGAGAGTAAAGGGATGGAAAGAGAGAGAGAGAGAAGATGCATGGAAGTGAAGAACAAGCAGATGAGAAATAATTCCCCACAGGAGAGCTCTATCCTCACAAAAACTAGCCCCAAAAACTGGCACTGACACATTCCAGGTCTCCTCAGCTGATTTTCCAGACTGAATTCCCAAAGGACACGGAGGCAGAACACAGGGCACGTCACACCCCTCCTGTACAAAGGCTTTTCCTCCTTAATTTTAACCAGGAGCATTTAGGGAAAGGTTTTCCAGGGGGATTTTTTTTACATGCTGAGCCAAACCCAAGGAGAAATTCCAGGCAGAGGTGCCATGAACAGGCACCTGGGAGAGGCTCTTCCCAAAAAGCACCTCCTTTCCCTCCTCTCCCTGTCATTCCCTCCACACACTTCCTGGTCTCCAGCAGCATTTTTTCCATCCCAACTGTGCAAACTGGTCCAACTGGTCAACTCACAGACCTTCAGGTCACTGAGATTTCCAACCTGACAAGCCAGAAATGAGCAGAAAAAGTGGCTTTGTGCTGCTCCTCAGGCATCTCCCAGCCCCCCAGGCAGGGATGGGATGTGTCCCTCTCTCCATCAGGGTGGAAAACTGGGATACATCTCCCCATCCTTCCCTGACAACCAATCGAGGAGAACTTGCTCAAGGTCAGCTGCAAGTTGCACCTCCCAGGGCAGAGCATCCACCCATTTTTTACCCAAAAAAAAAGCCCATAAAATGAGCTAAAAGTGCCTAAAACCTTTTGCAGCCAAGCCCTGCAGGCCTCAGCCACAAAATCCTTCCCAAAATCAGGGAAATCCGCTTCCTTGGAAGCCTCTGAGTCGAGAAAATAACGTTGCTTAAATAAATATATGACATTTCTGGGAGATGAAGCAGTTGGGGGAAAGGAGTTGATTCATCTTGGATTCAAAATAGCTCTGCCACCAGGATGGGTGGGAGGGGAGGGAGGAGGTTGGTGAGACCTGAGCCCAAACCCAAACTCCCCTGGGCACCCAGGGGTGCCAAGGAATCAGCCAGACACTGGCACAGCCACCCCTGAGGAGGGACTGGATCCCTGAACATCCCTGACCATTCCCTGGGGTGTTTTCCTAATTCCAGAAATGCAGCTGAAAGGCTCAAACGAGTTGGTATCTTCTTTTTTTTTTTCCTCCATTATTACAAAACAACCCCATACATAAAAATATCTCCTTGTGCAAAGGAGAAAATTCCAATCCTTTCCAAATCACTTGCTAATTTTACCTGTATTTTAATACCCTACAGGACCCATAAAGGAACTGGAATCCAACTGAAAAGTGGGGAAATTTCTCAAATATTTTGCTTGACCCAAAAGTTTCTCTTTGGAAAATTCATCAAGAACTTTTGATTTTCATCCTTAACCAGCAGAGAAAAAATCCCAGTCTTGCTTATACAGTAGGGACAACAAAAGGGTTAAAAAAACCTGAACTAGATGTTTAGACTGTACTAAGTTTTTTTAAAAAAATTAACTTCTCCCTCAGTTTTTGCTTTTTTTTCTGTTTGAAGTTGTGCTTCCAGGCTGTGTCTCATGTTTTGGAATGGGATACAAAAACGTAATTTAAAAAGAAAAATTTAAAAAAAAAAATTAAAAACAATACTTAAAAAACCAAAATAAAACAGAAAAAATCCAAGATGAAACAACAACCAACCAAAAAATCCCAACGACAAAAAAAACCAAAGGAAAACAAACAAACAAACAAAAAAATTCCACCCAAAAAACCCCAAAACCAACTAAAAACCCACAAAAATGGGGGATCCTAAAGGGGTGTTTTTTAGGGAGCAAAAAGGGGGCACCTTTGGGGGAAGTTGGGTCCTCTGGGGGGTCCCAGGCTGATTTTGGGGGTCCTGCAGAGCAAGGGGGGGGTTCTGGGGGGGTGGGGGGGGTTAGGGTTGATTTTGGGGGTCTTGCAGAGCAAGGGGTCGTGCCAGGGGTTCACAGCCAATTTGGGGGGTCATGGCTGATTTCGGGGGTCCCAGATAATTTTGGAGGTCCTGTAGAGCAAGGAGGGAGTTTGAGGGGTGTCCCACGCTGACTGGGGGGGTTTGGCAGCTCAAGGAGGATTTTGGGGGTCCCAGCTGATTTTGGGGGGTCAGGGCTGATTTTGGGGATCCCAGCTAATTTTGGGAGTCCCATAGAGCAATGAGGGGGTTTTGGAAGGGGTTCCACCGATTCTAGTGGTCCTGAAGAGCAAGGGGGGGTGTTCAGGACTGATTTTGGGGGTCCTGAAGAGCAAGGGGGGGGAGGGGTGTTCAGGGACGATTTTGGGAGTCCTGCAGGGTCAAAAGGGGTCCAGGGGGGTGGTCCCAGGCTGATTTTGGGGAGTCTGACAGAGCAAGGGGGATTTTGGCGGGGAGGGGGAGTTAAGGCCGATTTTGGGGGTCCTGAAGAGCAAGGGGGGGGGTGTTCAGGGCTGATTTTGGGGGTCCTGCAGGGTCGAAAGGGGCCCGGGGGAGTCTGACAGAGCAAGGGGGATTTTGGGAGGGAGGGGGAGTTAGGGCTGATTTTGGGGGTCCCAGCCGATTCTGGGGGTGATGCCGGGGTGTGTCCCAGCCGATTTTGGGGGGTTCAGGGCTGATTTGGGGGGTCCCAGCCGATTTCCTCCCC